AAGCGTCCCATCAGCAGACGCAGCCTCCACTGTTGAAACCCACAGTGCTTTATCACTCCCAAGCCACTCCTCAAACCCTGCTCTGAGGTTGAATGATGCCTGTTTGTAATGAAAGCACTTGGAGAGCTGGCGTCTCCCAACTTTAGCATGGTGCAGTCAATGCCCACAGTAGCTGCTCAGTGAATATTGGACCAAATGGTATTGGGCATCCATGCTACACCTGCAGATGGGAGCGGCAGCCAGCTCATCCCCAGGAACCAGCATGGCACAGATAACTCTTGTCCTCCTCTTTTTTCTCAGTAAGGACAAAATCTGTGCTCAGGGGAGAAGGGCATTGCTTGCCCCTCCCTTCCCTCCTCAGCCAACAGTTTGACTTCCCTTCTAGAGAGGTAAGAGAAGGTGTGACAGGTCAAGTTTCCTTTGCTCCACCCCATCGCGTTTTCCCCAAACACCCAGCACAAGCTCACCTCTGGCAGAGCTGCTTTCCAGCTCCTGCAGGTCGGACTTGGCTCACCTGCACCCGGGACTCCGCAGGCCTCCGCGGGACGGGCTCACCTGCACCCAGGACTCCGCAGACCTCCGCAGGACGGGCTCACCTGCACCCAGCACCGCCTCCAGCATGCAGCGCCTCACCGCCGCCACCAGGGCCGTCCTGATCCTCAGCCTGGCCTTAGCTTCCTTCCACTCGGCTTGCTCCGCAGGTAGCGTGGTGAGCTTTATTCGTGGCCAGGCTGGGAAGGGGGAGGGAAGGAGGGAAGAGAGGTGGGAGGGAAGGAAGGGGAGGGGGAGGATTCCTTGGCCGGGGTTGGTTCCGTACCAAGGAAGGAGGAAACAGAACTTTCTCTTCTGGAGGATTAGGCAGAGGGTGGGAGGTGGGCCTCGGGGAGCGGGGAGACGGGGTAGGTCTTAGGTTTGCCTAAGACAGAGATCAGACACTCAATTCCTCAGCTGGGGCAGGAGCAGCCACCTCCGTTGGCCTTGGCCACAAAGAAAGGAAAAAGTTTTCTGCTGCAGTCTCACCTATCAGGAAACCAAAATGACATCTCTTGGCCCGCTGTGTCCCAAAGGCTCCTTCTCAGCCTTCCCCAGGCCGCTGTGCTTTGTGGTCCTCCCTGTGCACATTTGTGTCAGACTTTCCCATTCCGAAATCCTCCATCCCTCCCTGCCCGAAATCCTCCATCCCTCCCTGCCCCCTGTACTTCCTCTGTGACTTTCACAAAACCTGACCGCCACAGGGCTGCCATTCGCCGTGTCCCACCCTCCTGCCTCCCGGGGTGCTGGAAATGCTGGGTTATCTCCTCATTTTCCTACGGAGGCTGGAAGGCTGATCTGTAACTGGCTCTGTCCTTCCCAGCCACGCTCTGCCGCTCATGGCAGAGGGACCTTGGTTATCATCTCATGCTCCTGGCGTTGATCTTGTCCTCAGCTACCTCAGAACACTGCAACGCCCTCTATGCCCTGCAAGACTCCCCTTCTCAAAACCAACCCTGCCCCGCAGAGTCCTGTATCTGCCCCTGTCATCCTCAGACTCTCTTCTGTCACCACTGCCAGGGGTATTGGCGTGGATGTTCAAGACGTGCATTCTTGAGCCACTGAGCCTGAACTCAACCCCAGTGTCCATGACTCACTCGCTATGCGACCTCCAGCAAATTACTTTCCCTCTCTGTGCCCAGTTTCCTCCTTTATTTCATGGGGACAATCACAGTGCTTGTTCACAGGGCTGTTGTCAAGAGGAATTGACATAATTGCACGTAAACAACCTAGAAATAGCTCACAGAAGACACATAGTGAATGTCAGCAACTATGGTGAACACGTTGGTTTTATTTTCCAACTCCACCTCTCCCCAAATAAGAGCACTGAGTCTCTTTCCACTTACCCTGACAGTGCCTTGCTTACGATGGGGGCTCAAATACAAAAGCCAAGTTTAACTGCACTGAATTGGGCCTTCCTGGCAGCTTTTCCTGTACCAAGTGGGGCCAGTCCCTGCCTCGATTCTGGCTCTGTTTATAAGGCAGGAGGGTGATGTCTAAATTCTTAGGAATTTTCGCCGGGGCTATTTCCTTTGAACCACAGAAAATTGCTGATCTTGAACAGTTTTGACCTATGACAACGACAATTTCATGAGCTTGAACCTAATCTGAGCATTCAGCTAACTAGGGTCTTTTCCCCTCACTTTGGAAGAGGACATCTCCATTCTAGGTGTAGAGGTGAGGTGAAAGTCAGGACCAAGGAAGTTATTTGAGTCAGAAGGAAAATTAGAATGGCGAGGAATCAGTTTCTCCAAAACAAATAAAGACCAGGCTCGAAGCCATTTAGCTGTAAATAATTTACAGTAACAGATTGCATCGAGACCATGACTATACTTTAAGCAGGACATTGGAGTGGCTTGGGGGTTGGCTGGCATAAAATTAGTCTCAGCAGCAATTTCATGGCTTTAGCTAAACTGCAGGTTTCTTAACTCGTCCTGCTGTGTGACAAGCACCTTTGAAGGACATACTGACTCACAGTCAGGGGAGCCTTGAGAGTTTCCACACCCACCACCTTTTTTTTTTTTTTTTTTTTTTTTGCATTCCCAAAGAAGCAGGCTGAACAGCAATATAATTTCTAGGAAGGTTCGTCCCATCCATCTCTTGGTTCCCATCTACCTAGATCAGCATTAGCACTGTCTAATAATAGAACTTCCATTGAGGGTGGAAATGTCTCATGTCTGAGTTGTGTTATCAGTATGGGAGCCACTAGTCACACGTACTGATGGAACCCTTGGCATGTATCTAATGTAACCAAGAAGCTGAGTTTTTTTACTGAATTTAATTTTAATAACTTTGAACAACCACAAGTGGCTAGTGGCTGCTCTATTGAATAGTATGGATTTAGAGGTCATCTCTCTCCTTATTGTCAGTTATGGAAGGGAACCTGGATGCCTTAGATCTCTAACCCCATCCCATACCCGAAGCCAATATAACTTTAAGAATTCATGCTAGGCC